GGGACTGCTGATTGCCACTTAGTAGTCACTTGTCCTTTCTTACTTTAGTAATAGGACCCTGATTCTTTTGCGGCAGCAGTGTGCCCAGCTGAAACCTCTATTTCCCAGCCCTCCTTTGCAGCTGGACATGGTCCTGTGATAATGTTCTGGCCAAAAAACTGTAAGAGGATGATTCATAGCATTTTCGGAACACTGCTTTAAAAGAGCCCACTCCATTTGGAGGAAGACTTTTTTCTTCTTTTGCTTCCTCCTGTTGCCAGCCTGGAATATAAGCATAAGGGGTGGAGCTCCAGTGGCCATCCTGAATCATAAAGTTACCTTTAAAATGAAACCACATGCTGAGGATGGTGAAAGCTCTGATGGTTCCTTGATGAGAGCGTGGAGATGCCTCACCAACTCTGCACTGCCTATTTCTGAACTTGTTTCATATGAGAGGGAGATACACTTCTATTTTGTTTAAGCCATTGTTATTTTGGGTTTTTCAGTTACACACAGCTAAACCTAAATATAACTGACATAGGAGGCCACTGCAGTAACCCAGATGAGAGAAGATGGTGGCTTGGACCAGAGTGGTAGCAAAGGAAGTTGGATGCTGGATACTGTTTTGAAAGTAGGGCCTATAGGATTTGCAGATGGGTTAGATACAGGAGTGAGAGAAGGAGAAAGACTAAGGAAGACTTCTGGGGTTTGCCCCTGAGTGATTTGATAGTGCCATCATTTATAGAGATGCAGAAGCCTTGGGAGAGAGTATGCTTGGGTGTGGGGTTGGGTGGATTCAAGAGTCTAGGGCAGTGACAGACTAGCCTTGCTAGAAGCAGAGAGGGACACAGTGAAACAGAAGGAAGGATAGAGAGAGGGTTTAGGTTGGTGGGGAAATGAGGTCACTCCTGTCCTACTGCTCTTATTTTCTCAATAAAGCATGCGGCCAGGCCGTCAGCTGAGACAGAAGAGATGAAAGTAGTGGGAGTAGAAGAGAGAAGTATGAAATAGCCATTTTAGAGAGTGGGGTTGCTGGACAGCAATGAGTGAGCGTCCAAGGAAATTTGTGCTAAAGTGAAGCAGTCAGAAGTGCTGGGTGTCTTCTGCAATCTGGTCCAGTAGCACTGCTGTGTTATCTGGGTTTTGCCAGACAAGTATGTACCATGTAAGACGACAGGAACATGGGAATGAAAGGGTGTCTGCAAGATAGGGATCAGAACGATGGATCAGGAATCAGAACTAGACAAAGGAGGAAGTAAACATATGAGATGGGTGATGGGTTAAAAAGTTGAGGGTTCTTGAAAAGACTGAAAATTGCTCGAGTGTGGGCGCTTGTAACATGAGCAGAGGAGAGAAGGTGATGATGGCCAGGGGTTGGGATTGTTGAAAATGAGTGGCTCAGGTGAGAGAGATGAAAATCACCAGAGAGAGAAGGGATGAGAAAGCTCAAGCTATTAAATAAAGGTATTAAATGAAGTATGTTGAATTATAAGACTAATAATAAATGTTGTTCACAAATTCCTCTAGTTAGTTGGTTTGTTAACTAGTTTGAATAAAGATACCATTCATCAGTATAAGTACTTTAAATTAAAAGGTTTTTTTTTTTTTTTTTGATGGGACATTTATAGGATTTCAAAAAACAAAGTTTTACCCAAACATCTAAGTTTTTGTGGGGTGAAAATATGAAGCAATCTTCTCTATGTAAAATTTCTTTGTGTCCTAAGATCCGTTCTTTTCCCTCTGTGAGTTTTTTTAGGCAGTTAGTCCATTAACACAATCTTTAAAAAACTGCCCGGTTTTTCCCCTCTAAAATTTATTGATTTATTGATTTTTGGCTGCATTGGGTCTTCATTTTTGTGTGCAGGCTTTCTCTAGTTGCGGCGAGCAGGGGCTACTCTTTGTTGCAGTGCACGGGCTTCTCATTGCGGTGGCATCTCTTGTTGCAGAGCACGGGCTGTAGGTGCATGGGCTTCAGTAGTTGTGGCACGTGGGCTCAGTAGTTGTGTCTCACGGGCTTAGTTGCTCCGTGGCATGTGGGATCTTCCTGGACCAGGGCTCAAACCCATGTCCCCTGCATTGGCAGGTGGATTCTTAACCACTGCGCCACCAGGGAAGTCCCCCCTCTAAAATTCTTCATGTCATAGCTTATTTTTTCTAAGCCAAATGTTGCCACCTCGTATTTTCCTCATAACTTTTTCACTGTTTTCTAAACTCCTATTCCCATATTTAGTTATTTTTTAAGATGTTTATTTCCTTTCTTCCTGCTCCAACTGTTATAACCTCGCTGTTGCTCAGATTCCTTTCCTTAGGAGAAAGAATTGGGAAGTTTCCCAACTCATTCTGTGAGAGAAGTTTCTAGACCCTGGGGGTCTTGTGAGCACAGAGGATCTTGTACATTATCCTACATCTAATGAAAAACATCCAGATGATAGGGCCAGGCGTCAGGTGCGGGTCCGATTTGTCACAGGTGGTCTCTGAAACATGATGCAAATTGCTTTGCTCCTCCCGTCTCCTAGTCCCTCGTCATTAACTCAAAAATTATTAATTGGGAGCCTATTCTCAGCTACTCAGCATGCTGATTAAAGTAATTCACATTAGTGGGCAATGACTGATTGGCTTAATTCTCTCAGGGGCACTCACATTTGTAAAATGTGCATATTAATCCAAATAAATCTGATTCATGGAATAAATGTGAAACAAACCATTAACACTTTATTTTAGGATTTTCTGTGTTAGAACACAGGGACTTCCCTTTTCTTTCCGCCTCAAAGCAGCCTTCCCATTCATGAGCAAGTGGGCCAGGACAACATAAAATTGGGAAGCAGAGTGTGTGTGTGTGGATGTGTGTGACACCACTCACCTCATCCACAGCTGTCTCCAGTTTATGATCTATGTGTCTTCTTCGGGAATCAGAGATACTCACGTCTGGATGACGGTTAAACCGTATTATTCTTAAACTGTAAACTCTTGATCTCAGGATTCTACTCCCTGATTTTCCATAGAAACTTTCTCAGCTACCCAACTTTATAAAGGTTTTCAGGAAAACAGTCTTAGAATCATAGATGTCCCTGGCTCCTGGTTCTTCCTTTAATCGGTTGTCAGTCACTGGAATGTACAGAGTGAATATGAAACCAGAGGTGTGAGGCAGGCACAAGGAGCCTGAAATTTCCATTTCTGTTTCTCAAAGTGGCCTGGGCTAAATGCGTGTATCCCATCCTCCAATCACCGTGCAAGTTATTAGGAAAAGCACCCTGACTGGGAGATAGTACCATGCAGTGGTTATTATAGTGGGCTTGAGCGTCAAACAGGTTTGATTGTGGCACCCAACTCGACTCCTGGTATCTCCGTGACCTTGGGCAAGTCACTTAGGTCTCAGTTGGCACAGCTTCTATATCTAGCCATGTATTACTCTTACTGAAAGTGTGGCTGATGAGAGCAGCCCTTTCTGTGCATCACCCACCCTCGCCAGCGGATCTGTGTTTGATGCAGCTTTCCTGCCCGGAAGGTGCTCTTTCAGGTCCAGAAACTTCCCTTGGAAGGAAGGGTGGCAGCGATGAAATGGGTATGCAAGGGCTCTTTCCCCTTCACATCTGCTAGAGGAAAGACCTCCCTGAGTCCGCCCTATAACACCACCCCCACTTGCCTTTCTGGTCGCTTCCTGGATGAGCAGCTGTAGAGCGAAGGCGAGCGAGAAGCAAGCGTCCTCCTCTTTCTCTTCCAGGAGTTGGGGCGATGAGCCTGGCCCTATGGGGTCATGTTTTAATTATAATTGACACCACTTGCTCTTTTACCATCTCAGCAAAGTCTTGAACCTATCTCCAAGTACCTTTCATCGACCTTTTGTAAACAGCTCGGCACACAGAAGGAGAATCAAGTTTCTGAAATGAGAAAACAAACAAACAAAAACCATAGAGTACTAAAAGGAGTCGTGCTTCTTCCTGCCGGTGACTGTTTACGAGAGGGGAGTCAGCGGGGCCCCCAAGAGGTCGCTGGTGGCGCAGGAACTGAGGCCAGACTGTAGAGAAAGGGGGAAGGAAAAAAAGCCCCAGAAACTTTCTTCCCTGTAGCGAATAATCGCCGCCCCCCCTCCCCCGCCCTCCCCCGCCCTCCCCCGCTCCAGGCAGAGGCAGTAACGTGACACCCGAGAGAA